TGGTCAGATCTTAGTGAGTATGGAAAATTTACTACTGTACCTCTTCCCCCTTCCCTTGGTTCTGCTGTTATTTCCCAACACAAAATTAATATATATATATATATATATATATATATATATATATATCTGTAGATAAAGATGCTTAGAATACCCTACCATTGTAATACTAATAAGAATCATGATAATTATTTAATTCATTAATGTCTAGTACTATAGTCTGTAGTTATTAATGAAGTAGAAATGTTTTCAGTAAGCCTATTTTTAATATACAGTACGCCACTATAACCTACTTAGTAGTTGGTTCATAGATAAAGATTTAGATCTTTCTGCACATGTTTTAGTAATTGCACTGTATCATACCGTACACAGTAATTTTTCTCAGTGGTTTTTATTGAAAAAATAATTGCCAAAAGTATACTAAAATTTATATCTAAAGTTTTTTGTTTTTATTACAAAAAGAGTTTGGCCTTTGTAATTGCTTTGTTTGTTAGCATTTGATTTCTTCATAGAATTCTTGAAAGAAATCAGTGGATAGGTACAGCTTCTGATCAAGTTGGTATTGTGAGTCCATGTTTTGAGGCACCCACTCTACTTTGTGCTTACTGGAATGTTAGATAAAATGTAAATGTAAAAAGTTGAAGTCAGCTGGGCTAAAAAAAAATCACCCTCTGTACTTTATCTTAAAAATGTGACAGAAACATCTGGGCCCTGGATCTGTAAGCAGGTAGTGGCAGCTAGGAGTTTGGTTTTTTTTGGGGTGATGGATCTGTGTGCTACATCAATAGCCAGGTGTTGAGTTTGAGCTCAACATTTGAACTTCTCCACTCGTCCCTATACAAGGAGGCTGTTCCCTCTGCTACCAAAGTCAGTGTCTTATAGGAAGCTGTACATGTTAGGAGGCAAGAAGACCACTAGCAACTAAAATCTCCTGTTTCCATACAAGATTTAACTTTCTGAGTTAGTTCACTTAACAAAATGGTCTCAGAAATCCATCCATTCTGCAAATGACAGTATTTCTGTCTTTGTGGCCAAGTATAGTCCATTGTGTATTTTCACCACATTGTCTTTGTCCATTTGTCTTGTCAGTGAACGTATGGGCTGTTGCAGAGTTTAGCTATTGTGAATTGCACTGTAGTAACATGGTAATGCGTGTACCACTGTGGCATGACATCATTAACTTTTTTGGTAATATACCCAGGAGAACTATAGCTGGGTCAAATGAAATTTCTATTTTTAGTTTGCAAACTCCAAAACTTAAAAGTATATGTGAAATCCTAATGCTAAGAAAGCCAACAGAATCAAAAAATAACTAACTCCAGCTGAAATAATAGCCTGAATTGTGCTAAAATACCCTCAATATAAATGAAGGACTCATGTCCACTAAGAAGCATAAGCTGTTTTGAAACATAAACTAGTGGGAATAAAATCAGAACAAGTAGATGCGAAAAGGTGGCAACTAGAAATTTTAGAAATGAAAGGGAGTCACTAAAATAAAAATTTAGTAGATTAAATAGTGATAGCCATAAAGAAAATCAGTAAATTAAAATTCACTTTTTAAAGATGCATAAAATATCTTCAAGAAAGTGCCTTTTGACTATTAAGCAAGATAAGCAAAAATCAATCTACTCCAGACACCTTACAGGGAAATCATAGATTCAGCAAGGAACCTAAACTAAAACTTATCAAACAAAAAAATCATAGTGTTGGGTCAAGTTGCTGCTCTTTTGAAGTGGATGTTTTATTTGCAGCAGTATACAGACAATAAAAGGGAGAGTATTTCATAGTAGTGGCCGTGAAAGAATAAAGGAAAAGTAAATGTTATCTTAGAATTTTATATTGATCATAATTATCACACATGTAAAGATATGTTACTAACCTACAAGATGCAGAATAAATTCAGGAAGAAAGAAGTACAAAACAAAGGATGAACAAGAAATGGATGAAAGAGGTTAGTAAAATTAAGATTGATAATAGAAATAATAAACAATATTTAATACTAGTAAGATGAAAGAAATTTTCAGCAAAATTTTTTTTTCTAGTTCCAGAGGAAGGTAGAGATGCCAAATAACTTCACAGATGTTTAGAAAAAATTTGCAAGAAAGTATGAATGTTCAATTAAACAATAGAAATATAATCTTAGAAATTCTAAACCAGCAAGTAGGGTATAGGGTAAGAGGAGACTATTGAAAAGGTTAAAAAAAAATTAAAGATGGTAAAGTGAGATAGACATTGAGATTGTAAGTGTCCAAATTTACCACAAAAGTGATCACATTTAATATGTTTGTAAATATGTGGAAACAGTTGTTATTTAATTACACTTTCAGAGACTTCCAGAATCCAGTATTCTGGATTCCGTGCAGTCTCATCTGCTCAAGGACTTTGCTTTTGTAATTATCCTCTTAATCTGTTACACCAGTTTCCTCTTCAGTGCATCATTCTTCTGTAAAATTCAGTGAGTCTTTTCTGTATTCCATTTACTTCCTCAGTGTCCAAATATTTCTCCCACTTCATGTTCCCATGGCTACTGTGTCTACTCTGTGTCTGTTTTATGAAAACTCCTCTAGTCTAGAGCTTCCAGTAACCTCCGAGTTGCTAATCCACTATTATATTGAGTCTCTTCTTTTTTTCCCTTGAAGAAAATAAATCACAACTATACATAAGTAAAATATTAACTTAAACAGCTTATCAGTGTCTTGAGTTTCCATCCTAACTGTGCCTCTGCATTTAAAATACTAGCTGTGTTACTTTGGGGGAAGTTTGCATTACTTTGTCCTAGTTTCCTGATGAAGGGTATTTACATGGGATTGAATGAAATTATATGCATTAAGTACATAGGGCTTTATGAAGGACTATACAGGACACATTGTTAAATGCTGAATAAATGTTAGCTGTGATTCAACTTTAAATTAATTAATTACTTATTCTTTATAGTACTTAAGATTGAACGCAAACCCTCATACATGCTGAGCAAATGCTCTACCACTCAGCTACATCCCCAGATCTTGAAATTTTTTATGATTAAGTAAGGGTATACATTTTAATGAGAGTAAGGCTGTAGATTTTCATAGAAAATCTTGGTGGTACATATACATTGTAATATTCTTTGGTATGTAAAAGAGAATAAAATCATTTTCTAGGAACTTATCACTTAGCCTGAAAGTTTTCCATTGACGACATCCACCTCACATCACTGTATGCCTGTGTATCTATGTCATCGTCTTGAATTTTGGGCCTCAGTCTCTTGATTTAAAAAATGAGAGGATAGCTTGATACATTTGTACATGTTCTAAATTATTTATTTCTGCCTGATTTTTGAAATTGGTTTGTGACAGTTACATGTATTCTTTTGTGATTTAAAAAAAAATTTTGTTACTAAGATTTATCTTTACTATTAATGTATATGTCTAGTTCATTACTTTGTTTTTGTTTTTTTGAGACAGGGTTCTTGCTATTCATTTCAGGCTGTCCTAGATCTCACTATGTAGCCCAGCCTGGCCTCTAACTTACGATCGTTCTGCCACAATTTATTACTTTGCAAGGAGTGTTTGGCACGCAGGGCTCACAGGAAGATAGACATTTATTAGCATTATTCACTGCTATATGAAATGGTGTATGAATATAACATAATTTGTCTGTTTTGCTGATGAGCATTTGGATTGATTCTAGTTTGGAACAACAGAACACAATGCTGCTCTGTTCATGTACTTCTCTTGTGCCCTTGAGCAAGTTTTTCTGAAGCCTAATATATTGACCTAGAACTGCAGAGTCAGCCCTATTGCTTGTGTTTTACTAATTTAGGTAGTGCCAGCTTTTTTACCAAGTTATTTGTACCTATTTATATATTATCCGGCAGTGTATGTGTTTCTGTTGCTTCGTTTCTATGCTAACATTAGGTGTTGTCATATTTTCACTTTTCCTAATCTAATGGTTGTAAAGTAGCATTTTGTAGCTATATTTGCATGCGATTAATAATGAAGTAATCACCTTTTATATATTTATTAGTTTATTTGTATTTTTTTTCTATGTAAGTTTGTTCCATTCATTTTTATGATTGATCAATAAGGGTTGTTAAAATATCTTAATACTCGTTCTTTGATTCCATTTATTGAAAATAATCTCATTTTGGGATTTTTTTTTCCTTTTTTTATATGGGATTTTTAAAAAAACAGATATTCTGATTTTAATACAGCATAACTTGTTTAAGAAGTCTTTTTTGGGGGATCAAACTCAAAGAAATCTTTCTTGATCGTGAAAATATTTAACGTTGTCTGAGGCATGTACATGCATTTAAATAATCTATCTGAAATTTTTATTATAGGAGAGAATTTCTATTTATTATAGGAAGTAGAGTTGAATTTATTTATTTATTTATTTTTGTTGTTTTTTCCCACCCTTTCTATTAACATACATTTGTGAAACAAAACAAATACATTCATTGTGGGGAATTGGGAAAGGTATATGTATATATCACATCGTGGTTTTTAAAAATTTTTTTCTCTATATCTAGATTATGTTATCTATTTATTTTGTATGGAGGGTTGTACAGTTGTCTCAAATTTATTAGTCATCATTTCTTCACCAAATAGTGTTCTAAGACAGTTTTAAGAGGGAGGATTTTTTGCATTTTATTTTGTTTTTTCCTTTGTAGGAATTCACTTAACCTTGAATATATTTGTTAAAAATTTGTTTTATCCTTTAAAGTAATTCCTTTGTGTCCTAATTTTTTGAAAGCCATTTGCATGGCTGTTGTATTTTATTAAGTGATTTTTCTTTATAGCTACTGAAATGATTTATAGTTTTTCATCTTTAATTTGTTACCGAGGGGAATAAATCACACTTGTAATGTTTAACTACTCTTACATTCATAGGATAAATCCAATAAGGACTATGGCAATATTATCTTTTATACATTTATTGATTAAATTGGCTAATAATATTTGTTTGTTAGTTAATATGAAAAACAACTCTTTTATATAAACTTGTTTTAATAAATTTTACAGCAGAAAATATAGGTGCAGAACTCAAAGCTCCACTAAAGCAAGAACCTCTCCAAGTAAGGGGTAAATATATTTTATTCTATTTTTTTATTTACTAGTGGTTTGAATTAAATGTATAAATTGTTAGTATGAATGTCTTTATAATTATGTTCGTAGGATATAGTACTTTTTTGCTCTTATATATTATCCATAAAAATTTATTGTTTATAAGTTAATTTTGTACTGGTTTATTTTGCATTTTGGTCATAATTATTTTGGAAACCTAAAGAGGCAAAATCATCTGTTACGTCATCATTTTTAGAATAGCCGTGTGTGTGTGTGTGTGTGTGTGTGTGTGTGTGTGTGTGTGTGTACATGTGTATATGTTTTGGAAGGGATAATGAAAAGTTGAAGTGATTTCTGTTTGCAGCTTTGTTCTATGTAGTATGCTGTGGTTTTCAACCTCAAAGCTGCTGTTTTGTGGAGACACTAACTCTACATGACAAAGAGCCTTATGGCTTTGGTGTTGTACAAAACTCGTTCAGTTTGCAGCTCCTGAGCCTATTATCTGTCTGACGTTGGGCTATGTATTTGACCTCTCTGAGCCTTAGTTGTCTCTGCTGTAAGATGGTGCTAAAAATGAGGCCTCTTAGGGGCTGGGATTTAGCTCAGCGGCATAAGCGCCTGCCTTGTAAGCAGGCAGTCGTGAGTTCGAACCCTGGTACCGATAAAAAGGAAAAAGACCCCCCCCCCCCCAAAAAAAAGAAATGAGGCCTCTTTTCTAGAATAGCTTTAGATACCCTGGATGGCAGATATCTAGGATATCTGAGGATAGCAAGTAGTCAAAAGTAAAAATAATTTATGTTGGCATATATATCAGTTAGTGTCATCAGAACCATCATCAATAATCTGGGCCAGGCTAGGCAAACAGAAATTTCTGGTACTTTGAAGGAAAAAAAATTTTTTTAAATCTTATTTAAAAGGAAAAAGAGAAAAAACAAAACAAAACAAAGCGGTGTAAGGGTATAAGTAATACAGAACTACAAAAAAAAAAACCAGTAAGAAATCACCAGTTAATGATTACACATTATCTTCTGAGAGACAGTTGCTCAGGTCACAGTATCAAAGCATACAAAGTGAACATTCAAACAGAGAGACTGCAAACAGTTGTGTTCAATGATCCAACCAAAAACAATATGGTCAGCTATTTAACACCCCTAAACACACTTGCAGTTGTATCCTTTAGAGCACTTTTTTTCCCTCTTTTTTACAACAAAATTTACACATTTTGGGTTTTATTACTCCTTAGTTCTTAATACTTTTTTTTTTTGGAAAAGAATAAAGTCAAATATGGCAAAACAAAACTGTCATTCAAAACCAAGGATAGACATAGTACATGATGTAAAAACAGAGTACAAGGTTATCAACAGTGGTTACCATAATGCCTCTTGTTTCCTTAAAAAGAATTGTCTATCTCATTAGGTATTATAAAGTTGAACAAAACAGTAGAGAACAAGACCAATAAAACTTAAACATTGTAAATATTACAGGATTTGAAGGAAAAATTTTAAGCTTTTTTTTTTTTTAAAGAACTAATCTTTCAAAAGAAGGTATAATTCTCCTCCTAGCTCTAGAAGAGAGATTTTGAGTTTTAGATTATTGGAATAAGGCAGCCTAGGGACCCGAAATCATGCAAAATGAAATCTGAACTCTCCTCTATACTTTTTTTCAGATAAGGGTTTGCATTTTCTTTTCTTCTTTTTCTTCTTCTTCTTTTTTTTTTTCTTCCTTCTTTTTAATTCTTTTTGAGACAAGGTTTCACTGTGCAGTTTAGGTTGGCCTTAAATTCACTGCATATCCCAGGCTGGCCTTGAACTTGCATAGCCCAGGCTGGCCTTGAACTTGCAGGAATCCTCCTGCCTCAGCCTCACAAGCGCAGGGATTATAGGTGTATATTACCATGATTGGCCAATGGTTTGGTTTTTATGTTTAATTTCATTTTTGAAATATTCTTATTTACGTTTGTACATTTTGTTTTTGTCAATATGTTTTTAAGGAATTATTTTCATCTACTGAAATGATTGATAATTTTGGTCTTAATTTTGCTCTTTCAATTTGGAAGTAAAACAAAACCAGGGATTAACATATTGGGACCTACAGTATGAAGTAAATGTCAGCTTGAAACAGAATATAAAGTTTTTGTTGTTTTGCTCTTATTCATCAGATATTTGCTTGTCTTTGTCACATGACCAAAAGCCTCACAATGATTTATTAACATAGAACAATGTGGTGTAATTTAACTAAATAAGTAAATAATGTAATTAATGCCGATTTGGTACCTTGTTATGGTAGTCCTGTGTTTTTTTAGATAAGGTCTCCTGATGTAGGCCTGGCTGGCTTCAGATTTGCTGGTGTCCTTCTGCCTCAGTCTCCCAGGTGCTGCGATTACAAGTGTATATCTATCTGATGCCTAGGTCTACCTTTTTTTCTTTCTCTCTTTTTTTTTTTCTTCCTTCCTTTGAACTACAGATTGAACCTAGGGCTTTTGTATTGAGCTATACACCTAGCAATTTTTAAATTTTGAGACAGAGTCTCACTGAGTCATTAAATTGCCCAGGCTGGGTTCAAACTTTTAACCCTCCTGCCTCAGTCTGTCAGAGTACTGGCATGTCAGTCATGTGCCACTATGTGGCATACCAGTCGTTATTTTTTATGAGCAAATGTGTTTTTTGTTTGTTTATTTGAGTTTTTGTTGGTTTTATTTTGTTTTTGCATACCTGGGGATGCTCTACCACTGAACTATGTCCTGAGAAACTATATCCTTTTTGTTTTGAGACACAGTCCTGCTAAGTTGCCTGGCCTGATCTTTCTGCCTCTGATTCCTAAGTAGCCGGATTATAGGCATGAACCAGGATTTTTTGCCCGCAGTGTTAGGTATTAAACCCAGAGCCTTATATGTCCTAGACAAGTGCTGTATCACCAGGCTATATTCCCAGACCCTTCTGAGTATTTGATACTTGACAATAAAAAAATAATTTATTAGAAGGCACTATTATGCCTATAAACCATGACATTTTTATAATAAAATTTGTTCCTCCAGTTTTGTTACATCACATGAACTAGCCCAATGGCTTTAAATTTTTTTTCTACTGTAATTTACAAAATAAACTAATGACCCCAGAAGTATAGATCACTATATATAACTGAGTCAACATTTTTCGCAAAAAGTATTTACTCTTAATTTCTTTGATTGCTTTCAAAGAACCAAACTAGCCTGTAATTCTTTATTCAAACCTTGTTTTTGTTCAGATCCTAAACAATTTAAATTATTTTAATGATTTATAGAGTACTATTTATGCAAGGAGTCTGCTAGACAAAAGTTGATCATTTTAGCATTAGTTATAGGTGAGTTTATTCAGATAAAAGCAAGATGGCTAAAAATGAGATTCTACCATTTTCTGCACTTGGCTTTTTTTTTTTTTTTTTTTGAAACAGGGTCTTCCTATGTTGTTAAAGCTAGTCTTAAACTGTGTAGCTCAGGCTGGCCTCAAAGTCACAGTCTCCCAAGTGCTTGGATTACAAGCCTGGCAGGGCATTTTAGGAAGAAAGATCAACTTCTTATGGAATTTATTAATGAACTCACTTAAATATCAACATATATTCATCTTCATATATGACTTTTGGTGTGCATGCTTACATGTTTTCTTGTGTTTTTGTTTAGTCAAAGCAGTTCTTAAGAAAAGGGAGTATGGATCAAAATACACTCAGAATAATTTCATCACTGGAGTCAGAGCAATAAATGAGTTCTGCCTCAAATCCAGGTACAGTACTTTTTAAAAAATGGGGTAGTGTGCCTTATCTGAACAATCCTTCTTATGTAAATTATCTGTCTATCTTTCTTTCATTTGTTGGTTCCTTTGTTTTGCGGAGCCTAGGCTGGCCTGGAACTCGTGGCAGTCCTACCTCAGCCTCCCAAGTGCAGGGATTACAGGCATGTGTCACCATGCCTGGCCTAATTTGTGTCTTACTTATTACCTTTCATGTGTAGAAAATTCCCCCACTGCCTCCCTCCTAAATTGGAGAGATGGTTTTATTCAGTGAAAGATGTTTAAATAGTTAGCTTATTAAACTGAATTCTGCTCAAGGATGAAAAATTTCAATGTTAGTTTTTTTCAGTGATTAAAATCCACAAGGTAAACCTCTAAAAACCTCTGTATGGCATAGAATTCTTCGAAGTTCTATTATATAGTAGAATGTGACATAGTTATCAGTAAGATTATTTGCATATTTGACCTTAGCAGTTTTGTTGTTTTTATTTTTTTGGCTAGCAGAGTTGACTAATTAGTGAGTTATATTTGATGGTCATTCTAGTAATTGTGATTTCTGTTGCATATAATTTTACTTCTTATATTTCTTATTTTCTCATAATCATAGAGGTTGATTGGCATATGCCATAAATTTAAACTTTTCTTCATCCTGTGTGGGCCATTTAGAGAACCATACAATCTATATCTTTTTCTCCCTTCCCTCATGGTTGAACAAATAAATATTTTTATAATTTGCATGAGTTTCTTAAATATTGAACAGTTGTAACATTGCTATAAATTATATTCTATTTCACATAGAATATTTCATTTGGTTGTTATGAAAAATTTTTTAAATTAGATGGATCAGACACTGCTGTCTCCACGTTATAGACCAGGAGAAGTAGTAAATGATGATTTGACCCAGCTAATTTAGTAAGTTGATGAGAGGGAAGGAATTAGAATACATATCTTTTACTATCTAATATGTAATGGCTGTTGATTTTTAAAATCTGCATTTAATTTGTAACTTAATAATATTCCATTGTCACTGATTTTTTTTTTTTTTTTTTAATCTTTTTGAGGTAGGGTCTCACCATGTAGTTCAGACTGACCTTAAGCTCACTTTGCCGCCCAGTTTGGTCTTGAACTCGCAGCAGTCCTCCTGCCCTGGGATTACAGGCATGTACCACCATGCCCATCTTGATATATTTATAGATCTTTTCATTGCTGTTAAAAATTTCCTTGGGAAGAAAACAAATGTTTAAAAGAACTAGCAGTGACCTGATGAATATATAAGCCTTTTAGAATTTGAAAGTATTTATCACCTAATTAACACACAGTCTTTATGACTTGGTATCTTTGAATAGATATTGCTACTTAGTATTAATCAAATTTGAACAAATGACTTGTGAATTATTTATATATTTATTTATTTATAACACATATAATTTTTATATCACATCATCAGTGTTAGTATAGTCGGGTATGGTGGATTTCCCTATGCAGGGTCTCCCTATGCAGTTCAGATTGGCCTTGAACTCACTTTGTAGCCCAAGCTGGTCTCAAACTTGTTACAGTCCTCTTGCCTCAACCTCCTCAGTGCTGGCATTACAGGCATGTGCCACTACACCTGGCATGAATCTTTTATTTAAATTCTTTAGTATGAAGATGATATTCTAATATCTAGTGTTTTCACTTAAAACTTTTTTCATACGATACAGATGGTGGTGTGTCTGCAGGAGATAAAATGCAAGCACCAACGAGGGAGTTAAATACATCCAATATTATATTACTGAACATCCAGAATAATTCTTGAGACAGGAGGATTGGTGTGAATTTGAGGCCAGACAGGGTTCCATTGTAAGTCCAAGATCACCCCAGATTACACAAATGGATGCTGTCTCAAAAACAAGTTTTTTTTTTTTAACTGTCTTTATGCCATTTCCTATACAGAAACGCCATCTTTAAAACTGATATTTAAAAGTTGTACAGGTATATTCTTTTAAAATGAAGATGCACTTTTACCTGTCCTTAATAATTCTTTTAATTGATAAACTGTGAGCACTTTGAATAAATGTATTGTGTTTTTTTTCTTCAGTGATCTAGAACAGCTTCGAAAAATCAGACGACGAAGTCCCCATGAAGATACTGAGTCCTTTACTGTATATTTGAGATCAGATGTGGAGGCCAAGTAAGAACATAGTTAATTTTGAGAAAAACTACAAGCCAAATTTGGGAGTAATAAAGAGACATTGAGACAGATTAAAATTTTTAAAATGACATTTTAAAAACAATATTTTTATATTTGAAAATTTGTTTATCCTTACTGGTAACAAATTTATAAACTAATTGTATTAATTAAATACATGTCATAATTTATAGGAAAATTTTACTTTTATTCTTTATGTTTACTTTAGTGAAGTTCGTTAAATGCCTTATATTGCTCTATAAAGACGTTGTTTTTGTAAGATTCTGTTTAGTTATAGTAATTCGTTTAGATTTAAATATAAATTATCATAAAATCATTAAAATTATTCATTGGTGGTGTGTGTGTGTACGCAGATCTTTGGAGGTTTGGGGAAGTCCTGAAGCTCTTGCTAGAGAGAAAAAGCTACGTAAGGAAGCAGAAATAGAATATAGAGAACGTAAGTATATTCAAGTTAAAAAGTAGTTTACAGGTAAGGACAGTGCCTGCAGTAATTGTACACTGTGCTTGCATGCCTCAGGGCTTTGGCCATGTTGGTTCCAGCAACTACCAGTTTCCATTTGGGGATTTAATTATTTTATAAAAGATAAGATCTAGGTTTTTAGGGATTTTTTTTCCCTTGATAGTCTTTTTAATATGAAAGGAAGAGAAGCCATTGTTTGTGGTTTCTGTAGCACATACAACTACCAAAAATTACTTTCTTATTTATTTTTGAGGTAAGGTCTCTCTGTTAGTGCACTCTGGTCTTGAACTTGTTTGTGTAGCCCAAGGTGATCTTGAACTCACACTGATCCTCCTGCCTCAGGCTGCAGAGTGCAGGGCTTACTGATGTGTGCCACCATACCCGACTATACTAACATTGATGATGTGATATAAAAATTATATGTGTTATAAAACAGAAGTAGCTAGTTTCTTAGAGAATGGACTCTTGAACAGCTACAACATTAACTCATTCATTTAGCAGATATTTATCAAACACCCACTATAAATAAGAAGCTATGCTTGGTGCTTGAGATCTAGATCCAAGTAGGACCATCAGAAATTTAACCATCTAGCAGGTTAGTGATGAAGTGACCTTAGAATTTGGGATTGGGGTAATATAAATACCTTTTAAATAATTACTCAAATTACATGTGTGTGTTAATGATAAAAGTGAAACATACTTACAATTTTTTTTAAAAATTACAGAAATACAAGCCAGATGTAGCGTCACACACCTCTAATCCCAGCAGTCTGGAAGGCTGAGGCAAGAAGATTATAAATTAGAGCCCTGCCTGGGCAACAGCAAGAGTCTGTCTCAAAATTAAAAAAAAAAAGAGCTAGCAATGTGTAGCTTAATCAAAGGCCATGCATTCCAACCCTGGCCTATCTTTTAAAAATTATAGTCTTCTTTTGTTTTATGTACTAGTTTTATTTTCTTTACTGGAGTTAACTTGTTAACATTATGATACACAGCTTTTCAGAATATTTCCAATACATTTAAAAATGTATATGCATTTTTTCTCATTTAAACGTGAATGAGATGACACTGTAAACATGCTTGTACATCTTGCTGTTCATGCACAGTTGTGTATTGGTAACTATTCTGAATCTTATAGAAATCCATCTTTACCTCATTTTATTTTAAAAGATAAGTGATTCTGTTGTATGGATGTAGCAAGATTAATGTTTTCTGTTTTTTAGTAATCTATAAATAATCTATTAGTAAATATCCTCAGACTTTCTTCTCTTCTCCTGTCTTCTCTCCTCTCCTTTTTTTTTCTTTCCTTTCTTTCCTTCCTTTCTTCCTCTCTCTCTGTCTTCTTTTCTCTGTCTCTGTCTCTTTCTTTTCTCTGTCTCTGTCTCTTTCTTTCTTTCATTCTGTGTTGTTGGGGATTAAACACCCTTAAACCCTAATTCTGTCCTTTCTCCCTCCCTACCTCCCTCCCTTTCTTCGTTTCTTATCACATGAAACTTACAAATATTTAAGGCATAGACTGTTAATAATAGAATTTTAAGGTCAAATGGCATAGGCATTTTAAAATCTGAGAGACCTTGAAATATTATTCTCCAAGGGGAATATGGTACCAATTTATATCTGCACTGATAGTATTTGACAGTGGCTGCTTTTTTGTACCCTTTCCTATGTTGGATATTAACAGTGCTTTAATTTTTTTGTGTACTTAATGGAAACAGATAATGTTCGTTTAATTTTGAATTTCTGTGATTACCACTGTGGTCATTTGTGTTCTGATGATTGCTTTTTCCCAAGTTCTTGTAATAATTTTTATATCTGTTCTTTGCTCACTTGTAGATTGTGTCTTTTAAAACACATTTTAGTGAGTTTGGTGAATTTTAATATTTAGTTTTAGATTTTCTTTATTTTAAAGAGAATAAAACAAAACAGAACAAAGCAGATCAGAACAAAACAGTACAAGCAACACAGGGTTTCAAAACAAGACAACAGGAAATCAACAGTGGCTACCGTAATGTCTCTTATTTTCTTCAAAATAGTTGCCCATATCTTCACACATAATGAATTCAAACAAAACAAAATAGTATAAAACGGATCAAAACAAAAGAATGAAAGCATTACAGGCCTTCAAAAACAGACAGTAGGAAAATCAACAGTGGCTACCATAAAGTTTTAGATGTTCTAACATCTTTCCTCAACATCTGTCTTTTGGTCTTCCTAACTTTTTACTGAGGAAATTTGACATATTCAGAAGTACTCATGATGGTATAAAAAAACTAAAGTACATCTAGCTTTATAATTGAAATGTGATTAACCTTGTTTCTCCTTCACAAACCCTCACTTTACCAGGTTACTTTGAAAGTAGTTCCAGAAGTTACATTATTTCATCTATAAATATTTTAGATATATCTCTGAATAATCAGTTTGTAGAATGTTTAGGGAAGCTACCTACTATCAGCAGTAACCTTTCAGTCTTAATAATCCTTGCAGTTGCCCTGCAGTTGAAAATCTAACATGTTTCTTATAGCTTTATTTTTGGCAAAGAAAGTGAGTGACTTGCTGCTGCTGCTTCCTTTTCTTGACAAAATTGGAACACTTTGTGTCATTCTAATCAGACCTGTTAGGAGTAAGTAGGTTTTGAGATTTTTGAGCCTAACCTTTATAATTCTCCTTTATCTATGTATTGAATAAGTACAGATTTCCTTACAAAATCTCAGTCGTTTAAATAGTATGTTTATTTTGAAAAGTATGAAGGAGTTGGTGAATGCTAGTTTTAATGGGTTTTGGCCTCTTGGAGGATTAAACTGCTATTGACAGTACACAGCTATGCTAAAGAGGGTGACACCTTCACAGAAGTGAAATACTTACTTTCAGTAGGTGAAATACCTTATTGGGGTCAAGTAGCCTTATAAGTTTTGGTATACTGTGCAGCTATTGAGTTCATAGGCAATACTGGCGTTAGCACAGAATATAGTCAGGTGTTTTAATAGGGCATATTCTATTGCAGAAAAAGGTACCCTCATTGGAGTTATCCTGAGGAACTTACATAGGGGACTTCAGTGGAGACAGGGGTGCTTATGTCTGTGAAGAATGTGCACACTTTTCTTTGGTAATCAAGTTTGTTATACTTTATCTATTATATGGTGGATGAATGTGACTTAGCATCCTTTGGTTTCCCAGAAGAATATCATGTCTCTGATTTCCTTTTTTTTAGTTTGATGTAGGATATTCTCTTGTGTTCATATTCCTTATAATCATGATAGTAATTTTTATCAGTTTTATTACAAAGGGGCTAGACATGTTTAGGATTTGAGAAATTAATAAATTTTGGCCTGTGTGATTGTTGAAAACTCTTATTTCGTAATTATCTGATTTTAATGGTACATATTTCTTCCTTTCCTTTGATCTTAACAGGTTTCTCATAATGCTTTTCAATTTTAGGTCCTCTGACTTGAACTAAGTGCCATTCCATTCTAATTCTTATCATAATTATTTTTGGTTTAAGCCCTTTTCACCAAAGAGGCATGAAGAGCCCTACATCAATCAGTGTTCAAATATTGTTAATTTTTAGCAAGTTTAATTCTAAAATTACTTATTAATTCTGTGTTTCTGTTTATAGTTTTTGAATCTTAGTCTAATTAATTTTAATAAGAAGAGTCTTTCTGGATAGCTTGCAGCAACCAAATGTCTTTGGTTCTTAATAAATTTACTTATGTTGTGGAATCTGTTTTCAATAGGCCAACTTGGAAAACTATTACTTGTTGCCTATTTTGTGTAAAGTGCATGCCAAGAATTTATAGTAATGATTGATCAAAAAACCCCAAAAGAATTATATTTCATACTATATGGAATTTAAATTTTAGTCTACATATTGAAAAATGCTTGGAACATAGCCATGCTCATTTATTTATATATTGTTTATGGCTGCCTCTGTGCTACCAGCGGCAGAGTTGAGGAGCTCCAACAGAGGCTCTCCATGGGATTCCTGTCACTTTGTACTGTTGTTCAGTGCAGGACAAAGAGTAGTATCACAGATCCAGTTCATCAGAGTTTTTACTGCTATAGGCATCCTTGTTTATGATATTTTATACTTTCTAAAAAGGCATTCTGTTGTGAGTGACACGTATGGTAACTCAGTTGCTCTTTATAGAAAATCAGTATCAAGAGGTTTTTGAACATAATTTTTTGATAGTTGGGCAACTGGTGATCATTGGTTAAAAACTACTGAAAAAGAGATGAATAAAATTGCATGCCTCTGAGTAACAGCAGTATTTGGCAGTACTGGTCGAATTTCCCTACAAATACAACCTAGCAGGAAAACAAGTTCTAGCATAGAAACAGGGTAAGTGTATGAAAATCTTCAAATACAAAATGATAAAATGAACATTGGCAACCAATTTTGATAATACCATATACTGAGGTTTTTTTCCTTTGGTGCTAGGGATAGAGTCCAGAGCTTTGCATATGCTAAGCGTATGTTCTGCTGAGCTACATGCCTCACCTCGGGAACACTAACTTTGAATCCTAATTAAGCAAACTGTTATTTTGCCCTTTATCTTATTAATAGAGCTTATATTACAAAGAGTTATAATCACATATTTTTATATTTTAAATTTGTGAAAATTTTTTGTGGAAATTTGTCTTCTTACAGAAGTATTTTAATAATACCTTTTTGTTCTTCAGAGCATAAAATCAAAGTTTGCCAACTACATTTAATGTTTCATTAGTATTCTATCTACTTAAGTTTTGTACTTTTGAAGGACTGACTAGTAACTTGATAAGAAAATATATAACTGGAATCCCTGAAGTATATCTAGGATGTTTGTGAATTCTTTGACAGTATTTCTATGTTTTGCACAGGATGAAGGCTTAAAAATGACAACATTTCCTCTCCTGCATGAGCTGACAGAATTTCTAAGAGGAAATTTTGTAACAGCTACGATTAGTAATCCCAGAGGAAAAAAAGGGTAGAGGAAGTTGCTGAA